CCCGCGGCTGCCGCGGGGGCCAGCCTGAGCCTGGACCCTCCGCTCCCCCGCCGAGAGCCAGCGCGGCCCCCCGGGGCCAGGGCGGCGGCGCCGGCATGTCGTCGGGCACCATGAAGTTCAACGGCTACTTGAGGGTCCGCATCGGCGAGGCCGTGGGGCTACAGCCCACCCGCTGGTCCTTGCGCCACTCGCTGTTCAAGAAGGGCCACCAGCTGCTGGACCCCTACCTGACGGTGAGCGTGGACCAGGTGCGCGTGGGCCAGACCAGCACCAAGCAGAAGACCAACAAGCCCACCTACAACGAGGAGTTCTGCGCCAACGTCACCGATGGCGGCCACCTTGAGCTGGCCGTCTTCCACGAGACGCCCCTGGGCTACGACCACTTCGTGGCCAACTGCACTCTGCAGTTTCAGGAGCTGCTGCGCACCGCCGGCGCCTCGGACACCTTCGAGGGCTGGGTGAGTGAGAGGCGGCGACCCCTCCCCGTGGTGTCCCACCCGACGCCTCTCCCCTTCCGATTTTCAAAATTCTCCCGGGTCCCGCTTTCCCATCGCTCCGTGGCTGAGGGAATTCCCTCCAGACTTTGGTCCTCGCCCAAAGTGACCGCGGCGCTGGTGACGCGTCTGCGGTGGGTGTGTGCGGGCGCAGGTGTGTGTGCGTGTCTCCAGGAAGCCGTCCTGGACACGATCCCCTCTCGGGTCAGCGGCTAGGGCTAACGGGAAACTGGCGGGGGTCCAGGCTTTGGGTCAGGCGCCCCGACTCTCAGCACGCGGGAACCATGCAAGGAAGGCCAGGAAGGGGTGATCTGAAAGTGACTTAATCTGGGCAAAATGCTTCCAGCGCTACTTAGGAGAAAGCCATGCATTCTCGCGAGTATTATTCATAATGTTTATGGATACATGTTGGTTCGACCGCGCAGACGTGCACACGTGTTTCGGCTTGCACATCCTTCACATCCTAGGGCGACTGGGTCTGCACGTTGGCAAAGTTTTCCTATGCAGCAGTATTCCCAGGAGATGAGGTTTGCATATGTCTGCAAGGAACTTCAGTCAATGGGAGATACGTGAGTCCTGCAATATGAGTTTCTGCGGCTACTGGTCTGAGAGGAGGCTGCCAGAGCTCAGCAGGTTGCCGACCGGCCTCCCTCCCCCTATCACCTGCCAGTGCTCCCGTGTGCTGACTTGTAGCTAACCGCAACTTCCCACTTGCCCCTGCTTTTCACGTAGTTCCCATGAGGCAACATGTCTGCCATAAATAAAACTCCTAGCGTGCTCTACACCGTGCTAAAATGCGTTTGCTGCTTATTTCTCACACTGCTTATGTGATGCAGTTGTTATCGTTTCCACTTTGAGATGATGAAATGATAATTATCATAAAGTGGTTTGCTTTGGCAAAATGGAGTAATGCTGTTTGAAGACTCTCAGGAATTTAATGATTTAAGTTCTGGAGGGAGTCGGTTTTGAACCCAGAATGGGAATCAGTATTGAAAATCTGTTTGAAGTTAATAAGTGGTGGAATCAGGAAGAGAGTGATGAAGACGCGTGTAGGGGTTTATTTTATACTTTGGGGTGTTGATCATTTTGCCACATATTCTCTGAAATGACAGGTGGCTTGTGGAACTGTCCCTTTTTTAAAAAAAAAAAAATAGAGGTTAAAAAAATCCCATAATGATTGTTTAACCTTAATCATCTAATTACATTGAGTTAATGTCCCTTCAGCCCAATTTACTTGATGGAACTTAGAAGCAGACTGGAGAGGGATGACCAAAATACAGTTAGAGATTTCCATTTATCCTGTGAATTTCTGGATATTAAATAGAAGTGACGGTAGAGATCCAAGTGGAATGATTGAATGCCATTATTGTCTAATGAGGTTTTAGGCTGGGCCAAGCTCTAGAGGAACTCGGTTCTGAAGAATGGTGGAGCTGATTGACCCATAGGCCTGAGAAGCATCTCTTCCTGGAGAGAGTCTAAGCTGGTCCTTCTCACCCCTCCTCTGCACATTTTGATTACTTGGGCAGCTTTTGAAAATCCTCACTTTTAAAGACTGTAGATAAGAAGTTCTGACTGTGGGACCCCATTATCAGTAATTTTTAGGTTCCCCATATAATTCCAGTGTGTGTCAAGGTTGAGAACCTGTGACCTAAATGAAGACCAAAGATGACTTCTTGGTGTCCAAAAAAACATTAGTGTAGGAAGATCCAGGTTATCTGACTAGTTGCAGTGTACACAGCTCATTATTGTTCCACTGGATAAACAGATGTTTAACTGAAAGTTCACTTTCTATTTTTTATAATTGTCTAAAATAATTATATTCAGATGTTTAATATAATACACTGGTGGTATTGAGTGTTTGGTAGGTGGGGTCAGCATTTAAATGACCTTGAAACTAATGATTTGTCATGCATTTAGATTCAGTTAGAGGACACGGTTTTGTTTTATTTTTTTAAGGTTCTGGGTATTTTGAAACTGCAGATAGTGTAGATAGGATGGGCAGAGTGTTGTTTCTTTTCTTTTTTCTTTTTGTTAAGAAAATAATCTTGTTAAGAAAATATTTGAAAGTATGTGGCATGCTTGTTTTTAAAATTATCCTTTACAGATCTACTGGTGCTTTTGAAGTTCAGGATTACAGAAATACTTATTTAGCTTTAGTATATTAAATTGAAATGTGTAATGTATTCAGAAAGTTACAAGTGGAGTAATTGGATTTACTCCACAATAAATTTATGTATTTTGCAGATGGAACTGCAGGCTGTTGACTTTTAAAAAACATAGTGACTTAGTTTTTGTTAGATCATGAGAAAAAGATCTAGCTGTAGGTTATGGATGGAAGGAGTCAATACAAAGACCTTAAATCTTCCCAAAGCATTAAATAGATTTAATGCAATCCCAATTAAAATCTCGGTAAGTTTGTTGAAGAAATTGACCGAGTGATTCTAAAATTTATATGGAAATGCAAAGTGCCTATGATAGTCTAAGCATAATTTTGAAAAAGAAAAAGTTGGGACTTACTCTATCTGATTTCAAGGCTAACGGTAACATTATCATAGTCAAGATAATGTGATATGGGAGTAAAGAGAGTTATATGGATCAGGGGAACAGAAGAGAGTCTAGAATATCACATATATGTGATTGAATGATTTTTGAGAATGGTGCCAACAAACAGATCAATGGGGGGAATGATAATCTTTTCCACAAAATAGATAGCCATATGCTGAAATATGAGCTTTGACTCTTACCTCACACCATACAAAAAACAAATTAAAAATGGGTTATAGACCTAAATGGAAGAGTTTAACTGTACAACTTTTAGAAGAAAACATAGAAGAAAATTTTTGTGACCTTGAGTTCAGCAAAATTTTTCAGATAGCACACAAAATACCCCAACTATAAAAAAATTAGACTAATCAAAATTAAAAACTATTGGTTCTTAAAGGATGCCTAGGAAAATGAATATTCTAGCCACAAACTGGAAGAAAATGCTTGCAACATATAAATCTGATAAAGGACTTGTAACACGAATAGATAAAATAACTCTTATAGCCCAATAATAATGAGAAAACTATCTAATTTCAAAAGGAGTTTAATATTTGAATAGGTACCTTCATGGCAAATAGCACATTAAAAGATGCTCAAAATTATTAGTCATTAAGTAAATGTATATTAAAGCTGAAATGATATATCAATATGCTCCCACTGGAAAGGTGAAAATGAACAACACTGACCATACTAAGTGTTGGTGAGAAGTGGAGCAACTAGAACTCTCAATGGAAATTAATGAAATAAATGAAAATTATTTTCCATACTGTTAGGTATGTAAAATGGTACAATCATGTTGAAACACAATTTTTCAGTTTCGTAAAATGCAAACATATACCTTCCGTATGACATACTCTGAAGTATTTACTAAGAAAAATGAAACCATCAAAGACTTTCCATGAATGTTATGTCAGTTTTATTTGCAATAGCCCCCAAACAGAAAACAACTCAAATGTCAATCAACAGATAAATGTTTAAACAGATTGTGGTTTAGCTATATGGTGGAATCTATTCAACAATAAAAAGATCAACTATCATACATGCAACAACATGAATGAATCTCAAAATAATTATGCTGAGTGAAAGAAACCAGACCAAAAAAGAGTACATACTATACGATTCCACTTATGCAAAATTCTAGCAATGAAAACTAGTCTATAGTGACAGATAGCAGAGCAGCAGTTAGCTGGGAATAGAAAGTGGAGAAAAATGAGGGAGGAATGGATTGATTACAAAGGAAGCACAAGGAAACTTCTGGGGGTGATGCATATATTTATTATTTTGACTGTGGTGATGGTTTCACAGTTATATACATGTCAGCACTTATCAAATAGTTCACTTTAAGTATGCAAGTGTTTCTATATGACATTTATACCTGAATGAAACTGTAGGAAAAAATTAAGGACTTATCATCCTTATTTCACTGAAGATGTTAAATAAGATGCTCGTATCTTGTAAATATCATCCTGATTTCACTGAAGATGTTAAATAAGATGCTTGTAAATGACAAATTAGAATGGAGCGATGTCTGACTCTTGGAAGCCACCTTGCCTCTTCAGTGCAGAAAGCATTTATCAGAGTAGGAGGCTAAAAAAAATCACAATAAAACAAATTAGTTTCTGATTTTTGGACACAGTCTCATTTTCTGTATTATCACTGTCAGTCTTTTCTGCTTCTTCTAGAACTTGTTTATTTTGCATAATTTCTTGGGCTTCTGAAAACTGAAGGGATGCCTGAATTAAAACCCTGTTTTATTCTTTCATATATTTGCTCTGGATTTGCTGGCTTCCCAGATGGGGACTGGCATCTAACACTTAATGAGGAGTGTTGGGGATGTGGGGAGGCAGGGGGAGCTGGAGGCTGCGTCATGGAAAGACCTTGGCGCTCCCTCAGGAAGGAAGGACCTGCCTGGCGGGATCTCAGGCTGTTTTCCTGGTTCAGCCCTCCTGAAGACATTCTGTTCTCTGTAGCCCTGGAGTGTTGCTTTCTCTCAGTTTCTCAGTGAGATACCTGTTTTGTAGTCCTGTCAGGTGAAGCAGCCAGGGTACCAGTGGGCAATTGTTGATTATCTTTTCCCTTGATTCCTGGATCCAGGTGCATGAAGCTATAGCATCAAAATTCTTCCAGATTATCCATCTAGTGGTGCACTCTGTTTTGTACTTTGTAGCACAGTTATTTATTGTCATGATTGATTTTTATTTTTTTCTGAGCCAATTGGTAAGTAGTGTCTAACATTGATCAACCCACTGTGTTTTAGGGGAAAACATATCTTAGAACCTCTAGGGAAGTTTATTTCAGTGCATGTAAGTTGTATTAACTACATAGTGTCTTCAGTTTCATTGTAAGAATTTTGCTCCAGTGATACCAGCTCTTTCTTATCATACAGGTTGTGGCTCAAGTATGTTCCCCCTCCGAGAGCA